ATGTAATTTTATAATGTTTTTATATCGTATCGAACATCGAATAACATTATAATATTATATTTTGTAAATATAATTATATATCGGAAGGACATACAAGCAAATATATAGGTATGTCATTAAAATTCTTTGTGGAAATCAATCTTGGATTATTCTATCTTCAGAATCAAACTTGTTGACTTTAAAATAGTAAAATATTATTTTTTTAGTTTCTCAGTGTTTGTACATTTTTTATATCAATTTTCAAACTCATAAATTGGATAATCGATTCAAATTTTGATCATTTACATGTTAGAGTAAAAAACGGGTCAAGAATTTTATATTTATAAAGATAAATCTATCAACTTGGTTAATGAATATTATATAGTTTTCACTACTAAACAAATTTCATGATAAATTTTAAATAAAAGAGTTGGAAAAACAGATGTTGTAATGGATAAGAAACATTTTTCGATTTTAAGATTCAATTTTAATTCCATCAAGCTAGAAACATCGAACTAAGAGTAGAATGAACGAAATAAACAAATTAAACATAAAATGAATGAATGAATGATTATTTGTGAATGAGTTCATAAATTTACTTATTCATTTATTCATTTATTCATTTGTTTGTATGTTTCTTACAAGTGTCTGCAAACTGAAATACATTTGCCTCATTACCACAAGGGTAAAATCGTTTTGGGCATATTTCTATTTAATATACAACAAAGTGTAATTATGAAGAATTTGGTATGATAAATATGACAAATCTGGGAGATTACTTAATGATTTTATTCTTCCAAAATTTCAAAGGATCATCTACTTTGATTTATGTAACTTGATATCTAAATTTAAATATTTTTAATGAACTTTAATTTTGAATAGAAAGATTATTTATAACATGATTGAACAGAATTTATTAGAAAAATTAATAAATAAAACAAAATAATTATTAATATACTCGATTGATATTCAATGAAATCCATTCATCTAGGCTACTAAATAATATTGTGAACTGGATCATCTTAGAACTGTTTACTTCAATGGTTTACTTTTTGGAAGTTTATGTACTTAAAATTCTCAAAAGTAAAGTCCAATTCATTGACTTCTTTCTGTGAGATAACCATTCTCAATTTGGGCACATAAGTAGATCAAATTTTTATTTATTATCTTTCTGGTTTTGTCGAACGTTCCGCAACCATAAAGGTTTTAAGAAGATAACATAATGTCCGGTAATACGCTCACATGCCGGACATCATCACGAGGAGACCAAAGAAGTTCAAGTTCATCATGAAAATTCTAAATCCTCAAATCTGGATGATAAGTGAATGAATATTCCAGTGACCTACTTTACTCTTCAACTCTAACAATATTTACACCTTATAATTTTGCGCCTTATTACATAGATTTCATGTGTTTTTAAAATTGTCCGATGATTCTCATTTCGTTTTGCTTACATACAAGAATTACTCTACTTTATAAGTTAACAATTCCTATCTAAATCGGAGTCTTCTCCAAATAAATACATACTGTGGAATTTTACATTAGCTGAGTGTGTCAAAACACGCCTTATTACAGAGTATATATCCAATGAAGCAGCAAAGCTCAAGTTTTTGCTTATTCATTTTCTTCAAACTCTCGTTGTTTCCTCGCCGATATTTGTTCAGGTAAGAAGCTGTAAAATCACAAAAATATGACATAAACATTGAATATGCTGCTATTGCTGTCGTCTAATATGTTGCATGTACCTTGTTATGCCAACTTGGAACAATTCTCTATGCGAAGACTGTCTACAATGAATGTTGTATTCTTTCTAACCCTTTTAGCTCATGAGTTCATATTGATAGGAAGTAACTATTTTCTTTTCTAAGTACAGTGCTTCTAGTCCAAGATGCATCTACGATAATCAAAATGGACATTTTGTTTTAATTCGATTGATTTTTGGTAATTCATGAGTACAATATAGAATGCCATAAAAGTTGAAATTTCTATTTTCAATTGTGTGATATAAACGGGAAACTACTCATCTTCACACAAATACAAGAATGTTCAATTTAAGTTCTTGCCAGGTTCTATACCTAATCAATGAGAGAATGCTTATCTAATCTCCGGGTATTCACATCTTGTGGAATCAGGTGAAGATTACAATACTTTTCAGATTGACCGTGTAACGAATCCCCATATGCTCTTATAAGTCCGCGACAATCATTTATTTGGACTTATTAGAGCATCTTTCTTTTCAGCTGAGCTGTTCTTATGATTCAATTGTTAAGAGAAACACATACCTTTTGGATGTACGGATCAATCTCGAAATGAATCAATCATCACACTGTACTCACTACACGCTGTAGCATGTCTGTTTCAGCAATTTGTTCCAAATTAAAGAATCATGAATCGCATTGGACTACTGTAGTTTCTGCACATGATGCAATTTTGAATTCAATCAATTTTCATAAACGCATGTATTCTTCAGAAACGCCCAAGGAATAATGAATTTCGCCATTCAAGCTTGAAGCGTGATTATTGTTAAGCTTAGTGGACAAGGAACCTGGTGCTGATTGGAATGAAGTCATGTTCTAGATGCGTTATACGTATCCATGGTCACAATGTTCTCGTTGACATAACTGACAAGAATGATGGCTAATCGTGGGATTATTATGACCATACACGTAAAAGTAATAGCTCGTTTGTCCGGAGACCCCAAGTTGCTGCTATCGTTGAGAGTGTCGAGGCCGATGGCCAATGGCCAATGGAGGACCTCCCAGTAGGTTGACTACGTCTCCTGTCTGCGAATCTATGACGGGTTTCAGAGCCTGAAAACTCTGCAGGGCATCCACTCACGATACTTACAGTAGTAGACTCCTTGAGGTATGAGCTGCCCCGTTTGGACGCAAGTTTGACAAAGTAGAAGATAGAAGTCTTTGGATGGTCCCAAAAATCCCTAGAATGGTGGGAAGAGGAAGTTGGAACCTTTCAGAGAGAAGGCAGTGATGAGCCCCCATTGACCACGAGCAATCACGCATGCGATTTCAACATATCAACACGCGTGAGATGTCATTTCGCGACCGTGGGGCTTCGCCATGTACAGCTCTGTACGATGAATCTCGAATTGAGACGAATCGCCGGAATTCATATGAAGCTCAGTGACAGAGTGAGTGAGTGAGTGCCTGCGGCTTCAGGATTGCAGCAGACCGATGGATAATTGGGAACCGACGGACGGAAGGCTGCAGGCGACGAGATGGAGAGCGTGGGGACGGACGGACAGACGGAGGGAGGACGTGTCGGGAAGACGGCGGACGGACGGAGGGAGGATGTACAAGGCTAGGAGCACGAAGACGTAGATACGAGGGACGGAGAGGCTGTACCGGGTCCGTTGAAACACAGGAGTCAAGAACTCCGTTGACTCGCGTTGTGCCCCGTCCGCAAATCACTCTCACCCGTCTCCAGGCCGCGATCGGACGGCCGGCACCGCGTCCCCTGGTACCCGTACCATGATTTGGCGTACGGATGTTGTACTTATAATCTCGCTCACTCTCTCTCCTTCTCTCTCACCGGGCTCACTGGACTCGCCGGTACTGGCGGCCAATGAGCCGCGGCCTGACAAGCAGTTACCGCCTGCTCGCCTGCCAGGCTCCCTGGCGCGACCGGGCCCTACCAGTCATCGGCAGCAGGGCAGGACCGGCAGGCAGCAAAAGTCCAAAAGAAAAGGCGCCGGGACAGACAGACACACATTCATGTTGAGTGCGTAGAGGGAGGTACTACTGTACTTGAGGATAGCAGTAAAGAGGAAGATAAATGAGATGGGGAGTGAGAAACAGTGAGGACAGCGAGATCAGAGTGCGGATCAGTGATGGCCAGAGAAAGGGCAGCTGGGAGAGAGGGAGGGCGAGTATAAATTTGTGCGCAGGTAAATGCAGAGGTGACGAGGGATGAGTGGGGAAAGGGAGAGGGAGGGGGAGGAAAGATGGAGAGGAAATGCAATTTGTTTGTTGGAAAGTAGTGACGGCAAATCGGAAACTGCGGTGGGAGGGGAAGAGGTGGTGGACAATGTCAAATATAAAGATTGATAGGGGAAATAGAGGGGAGGTGAAGCGAGCATTCATCACCGCGTCTGACACTTTGTCCAGCTCCACGCACATGGGTGTGAAGAGATGCGCTTTTTAATGGATTTGTTGGTTGGACGCTATCAGAATTTTTAAGAGGACGAGAGGTTAGTCAATGATGATGCACTCCTGCTGCTGCTGATCCTGCTGCTGCTGTTGCTGCGTGCTTCTGTTTGGCGGGGCGGGAGGTGCTGCTGCTGTTAGTGGTGACGAGTAGTATTTTTATGTGATCTGGGTAAACAAGCAACCGCCGATGGATATGATGTGGAGACGGGGGAGGGAGGGAGGGAGGGACAGGAGAGGAAAGGAACGGAAAGGAAGCGAGGAAGGCAGCGACCCCGAGCTATCCTATCTATCTTCTACCTATCTGTCCCTGCCCTTTCTTCCACAATCACTGTACCAGTACCATTGTACAACCACACAGGAAATCAAAAATGTAATGTAACTAAATAGCTTCGTTTTCACCGCTAGCTGTCTGCTGCTACGGGGGTCGGGTCATGATCCTTCCGTGTACTTTACAGAGAGTGCAGCTGTTCTCCTACAACAAGAAAGAAAGAAAAACAATGCTTGAGCTGCTGCCGGTACTAATCGAGAGTGGGTTTCCATGTTGGGACCATGATTTTCAGTCCAGGATTTGGAAGTTTACTCAATGAGTGCGCTGATTAGAGGGTTAGGATAGCATTTGCCTCTCCTCGTCGTCAATCTTGTGGTGGTGCCTCCTCGCTCGATGCTCCATTGTACGCTCGCTTTCCTCTCTCGAAGCGGTTTACAGTGAACGCTTGGTTTATTAGCGTCGGAACCAGCGACCGAATGGAATTTACGTTTCTACTTACCGACACGGGTTGATTGAGCAGCAGTGTAGCATTTGTTGCCTCGGACTCAGAGAGGTAGAATAAGAGTGGCAGCGAGGGGGAAAGGGGAACAGGACGACGCGGGGAGGCACAGAGAGAGACGGGGGACGACCAGAGGTGCGCGCGAGGAGGTTGGCAGAGAGCAAAGCCATGAAGAAGCCTCGACCGTTTTGCCATTGCTTCGGACAGCATCAGCATCATCTCAAGGCCAAGTCCTCGAGCTCGGTGGTGGTAGATGAGGAGAAGCCGAAAGGACTCTATCGTTCTCCGTAGTGAGCTAGACTGCTGGTCGAGAGGGCCGTGACGATTTTAGAGCTTGATACAGATTTCGGTGTTTTTGACGACGCAATCATGGACCAGGCAGTGGTGCAGAGACAGCAGATGATGCAGCAGCAGGACGAGGTGCAAATGGAGCCCCAAAAACCTGCAGCCAAGCGAAAGAAACGTCAAGTCATCTCCGCCAGTACAGCCACATTCACCGAGCTGCAGAAAATTCTGCAAGAGATGCGGCCTTACACTCTCCAGGTGAGCTCGACCGACCCCTGCGAACCACCTCTCTATTTCCAGCTCCACCCGTATCCGCACTGAGAAGCTAATCGATACATCTCGATTTCATTATCAGCGCGAACACAATCACCAAGTTTCCAACTGAGATGTGAGCAATGTGATTTTTCATTCTCCAAATGTGAGTTCCTCCAACTTCAGACTCGGTGGCAAACCGACCAACTAGAGATGCATCGACCAACTACATCGAACTAGCATTCTTGCGCTTCACCATCCTGTCCTTCACCTATCAGTCCATCTTATATCGTTCGGGGCAGCCGCATTTTGCAGACGAGCATTTTGCACGTGATGTTCTCCTCACTCTCCAGGACTGAGCTGGACTGTATTCCTCACTCTCCAGACGAGCTGGACTGTAGACTGACATCGTACATACCCTTCTCGTACCTCTTGACATACTTGCTGCCCGCTCGCTTAAGGTCGACTCTGTTACTCGTCCGCAAAGACTTTGCATTCTACTCCTGGCTTTTCTGCCATGCTCAGAATTCAACAGAGCTGTACATTCACAACTCGTATGGTCAGTCAACGTCAGGACCCTGAAAGTCAATGTGCGGAACACACACTTGAAAATGAAGCACAACCTCCTCGTGCAGCTGCGGCGATCTTCATTGTTAGTTGGTCCGGATTTTAGGCGACATTAGATACACATCTTGCCCTCCGTCCGAGAATGCTGATTTTGAGGAATGACAAGTGATAGCTCTCGGAGGTCTGGATCATATTCAGCCTGAGAGTGACACGAGCTCTCACAGGTGTGGTAATGCGTTGTCCACCCACTGCTTATCTCAGATCTACAATCAACCAGCCCAATACAGTCTTAAGCTTTCCGATCGCTCATCCCACTTCCACTATGGCTCCGTCTTTCACCTCAAACCCTCAGTTATAATATATGGCTTCTTCTCTGAGCTCAGGCAGATCGAGTCCAGCTGAACCAGACATGGATGAAACGAGAGTGTGCACTTGGACACTGATCACTCATTGGATTCTCGCTGTGATGTGCAGGTTTTGAGGACGCCGTATTACCGCAATTGTAAAGCTGCGCGGAACATGCGGCGTGGTAACTGACCTTTCCCACCCACTCCACTCCGATGTCATTGACCATTGACAAGTGTGTCGTCACAATGCGGCTGTCTGGATCTGTTTCTGAACACAACCGCCTGTCTGACATGCGTTTTCAGAACGTGGTTTCCACCACATGTGCATGTCCAGGTCTCCTTACACACCATCGATTCGTACGGTTTCTTTCAGCGACAATATCCTTCTTTCAGAGAGGAAAGAACAGGCCTGTTTTGGTAGAGACAGAACTGACCCGACATTGCATGATGCCAGCCAGCCCTCAGGCTGTCTTCATATAATCTTGCCTGATAGTACTACAGTGAAGGGCCGGAGGCCAGTCGATTGGGATCTCAGTTGAGAAGCTCTGTGGCAGCTGCTCTATTGAGCTGACCTCGTTTGTACTACTCTGAGTTAGCTGATTGCTAACTGAAGCCAAACTTGCCCACTGAGTGCGTCTGTGAGTTCCACGAGGACTGCGCATCGAAGAAGAAGTATAAGATGTTCTCTCTGATTGAAGAAATTTTAGCTGGTTGGAGTTGATATATCTGTATATACTCTTGTGAAAATTAGGAGGACTCTTTCTGCAACTCAATCGGTCTTACATTTACGATTTATGCATAAAATGAAAGATCAGTGCGTGGTTTGTGCAGGCATGCGTCAAATCAGGGACTTGTGCAAGCAGGTGCGTATAGAAACGGTGTCCCTCGGAAAGAGGAACAAAGTCGAAGGAACGAGGAGACGGAGGAGACCGGTGAAACCAGCTTCCATAGAGGACGGTATTGTAAGTCCACCTGGTGGGGAGGAAGTGACGAGATCAGATATTATCGCCGGTGAATCGCAGGACGGGAGAAATGGCGTCACAGAGGTTTCGGAGCTCCCGGGTGTAGAATCATCGCCCTTGGACTCACCCACAGCACCAAGTGTACATTCAACAAAGGCGGAACTCATAACACCAAAGACCGAGTTTATCATCACGCCCAAACCAGAGAGAATCATTGTCTAGAAAGAAGACTGGACAGTCATACAAAATCCAAAGGCCAAACTAGATGAGAACATGATCGGACCTGCATCACACCGATCTCTCCCGGTCATAAGTTTATGCATCTGAAGAATTCGTCTTGCTTCCAGTGATCCGATTTAGAGAGAGTTTCAATGTAGCAATATCCTACTCCCTGATGTTGATGTTTGTCCGGAGGAGGAGCTGAAACAGCTCAGAGAGGTCAATCATGAACATTGCTGTAGATAGAACATTTGCTCGCAGTAGCATTTTTAAGTGGCAGGAGAGAAGTCTTAGTGTAGACAGACACCTAACCCGAAGAGCAGTGATGGTGATGTTGTACAGTCGTGTCCTGACCACAGACCAAACTTTGATGGTCCTTAAGATTCAGGGTCCCATTGCTTAGATCAATCCCCTATGCTTTCAAGAATGCCTCTGTATTGCAAGCAAGAAGGCACGCCGAGTAGCTAGCAAGCCATCCGGCAAAACAGAAGCCGGGTCTTGCATGATAATGATCAGATTTTGCTACTAACCCAATTCGTAGAGTTGTAGATTTCTTTGTCGAAAGTTCGTTAGAGAAGGTCGTAGAAACCCTCGGAACGACTAACTGCCAATTTATTAGACCTTGTCACCTGCTGGCCAACATCTCTGCATCCTCGGGAGGTGGGCCCACATAAACTGTGTACTTTCACACGTTTGTATAGAAATATTAAACAATCAAATCTTCCGAGTCTTCCCGATTTGTGCAGCTGTCGGTTGTTGTCAAGTCCAGTTTTATTGCAGAACAGGAAGATCTCTCACAGCGCTATCCAATCTTCCCATCAAGCATTACGAGGGCAGTCCAGCCTATCCAAATGCACCGCTCATGTGCCCTTGTGCCGAAAAATATACCTCTCCAAGATAGCAATAAGAACGTGTAGTGAACATGAAATGCAGTTTCGATCCGAGAGGATGTCATGATCTGGAGCAACCTAATCTTCGAGCAAATGGCGCCAAATAACGGTAAGAAGCACGAAAACATTTAATAGTTTCAAGTGACCACAACCACAACGGATCGACCTTCATTGCCGAAGCCAGAATTGCCTCTTCTCGAAGTTGGAAATGTCAGTTACTCACCTCGGTCCTTCTGCCAAACGCACCAGGTTATCCTCTGAGGCCGTGCACCGGCTACCATCAGGCGCAACGCAGACCAAGTCTAACGAGTTACATGTAAGCCTCGCCTCCACTTCTGCGCCAACCAGCGAGACCAGGAAGCAACGACACCTTGTCACGTCTCTGAAACGAATCTGCAAGATTTAATGCTTGCAACACAAAAGGGAACCTGACTGATAGCAGACTGGCAAGCATCGAAGACGAGGGAGCTGGAGGATTGTTGGGGGTTGGGGGTTGAAGGAGGAAACAGAAGTTGAGCTGCAGAGGAGGGCGCGGTAAGCAGGAGCAGCTGCAGCAACTGAAGCATCTTGCAAGGGACTTTCAATTCTCGACAATGAAGTTAATGAATGCAGCGATGCTTTAGCATCTCCCAACGTCCTCACACTCTTGGTCTTACGAATAATCTGGCTGCATGCAGGTAGGCCCGGTCTGGAAGAGGGGTCGAGGAGGAGGAGGTGGTGGTGCTATGCCAGATCGTCCGTATGCCACTACCGATGTTGCTTTTTGCTTCTCCGAAGAATCTGAACTAGCAGCAGCTGAGCAGAAGCAGAGCAGCAGCAGCAGGAGACGAGTCGAGGTGAAGAAGACATGAAGAGCACTGCAAAATCACTAAATGTGCTTTTCCTTTTGGACTTCTATCATTGAGCACTAAGGCTAGACTTCAATCACTCTGCAACTGTGAAGTTGGTGGCCGCTGGCACAGCCATGTACCACTGACACTACTCAGCGAGAGGTTGTCAACTGTTGCCTTTCTGACGTGAATATTTCATACTCCACACTAGAAAGGAGAACACCACACCCCTCCACTGCACCCCACTGCAAGAGATGCTAACAGTCCAGACCACATCCTGTCACATCACAACTCTAACGCATCATTCATTCATTCATTGACAAACATACTTACATCAATATACATGCAAAGGATGTAATTGGTCGACCCTTAAATATTACTCAGTGTAACATGGGCAGCTTCGAATCATTTGTCTTTCATTGGTTTAGAATGAGAGTGCAGTTCAGTGCGTTTGAGTAGAGTGATCATTGTAGCGAAGAATTCTCTGACACAGAAGCACAATCCACCCATTTAAGTTCCGAATTGATTAAGTGGCATTTATTTGGGAGATGCAGACCCTTTATTCTCAACTTTTTCAATAAAAATGTTGTCGATGATGACTGATTGGTAACGGGATTGAAGGATTCCTCCAGAAGTATCTGCCTATGTCACTTCAGGAATAAGGACCATGCTTAAGTTCTGAGCCGTTTGAGTATTTTACATCCAGTCCTTCCTCGTCAACAGTTATTGTAGTATAATATATATTTATTATGGGCATAGACAAGTGGAGATGATGCCCAGAAACCTCAGCTCGGGTTTCTGGTAAAGATCCACGGCTCTTTCACTTATTAGTGTTTCACAACGTTACGAGCTCTGCGTCTGTGAAATGCTTGAGTTCTATGATTGGTCCAAAACGAACATTAGAACTGGTATATTTTCATTGCTATATTTTATCGGAATTCTGTAAGATACTGACATGCATGGCAATTGTCTTCTGCAGTTACAATGCAGATAGAAGTTTTTAAGTGAGTTTCAGTAATCAAGGCATTGGCAACAGTTTGGTATAAGGTTGACGTGTATAGCTATCAGTTTAGCTTGATCGTGATGGAGATTAGAACATTGCTTCCTCCACAGCTAGACCGAGAAATGCTTTGCTCATCATAATGTAGAGAAGGTTATTACAAGAGTATTGTGATTTGCAAGCAGCGCTTGCCGCAACGGATATGACTTTGGGAAACCATAGTGAAACAAGACTTCAAATTACATTTTGCTTTGAAGAGATGAAATTCGAGAACGCCAAAAATAATAGCAAATTGCTCTTGCAAATGAAAATAGGCACAAAAAGTTCTACGTGTATAGGCTGAGACTCTTAAAAGAATTTGAGATCCGACAAGATGTCTCGAATGATTTCTCCAACACAAAAGGAAATAAAATAAAATAAAATAAAATAAAATAAAATGAAATAAAATAAAAGTACAAACTTTGCTACTTTTGCCAAAAAACCATCATTGACAAACAAAAACTTCAAAAACCTTTAGTTTTCAACCTAACAACAAACCGAGACCTCTCTATCAGCATAATTCCGTTATTGACAGAAATTTGTCAGAGACAAAAAATCTGCCAGTCGACTTTGACTCGAAAGACACAACCTTGCCACACACAATCTGAATCGAAACCAGCTTTGATACCAATTTGCTAACGTTAAACCAAAAAACTCAGTGAAACATTGAAGCAAGCATGAACACGAGAGACATGTCATATAACGTGGTTCAGCCTCAAAGGCTACGTCCACGGCTGAAACACGCGAGAGAGTTATTGACAACTAAATGCAACCCATACAGAGTAGAAACCTTGGGGGTATATATATACCTAGTGACAAACCTAGCTATAGACAGCTAGAACATGAGGTTACTCCTCAACCGAAGTTAAACTCAACATATTGAAGTTACTATTAAAAGATCCCAGAATATTTAAATCTTGAATTTGATAAGACATTATCAATGAATATAGTTTGTGAGAAGATTAAAAAATTTTTGATTTGTTTTTCTTTCAGGTTTATTATTAGATTTTGTCTTATTTTATGAATATAATTATTTTTAGTATTTTTATTGCCAAAAAAACTGATAACTTAAATTGTATAATAGAAGATATAACTATCATGATCAGATTGAACATATGAGATTCTTTATGACTTGAAAAAATGATTTATGATCAAGTACATATAGAGAATTTGAAGGAAGAATATGAAATAATCTATTTAAGACAATTATTTTGCCAAATGTTTTTGAAAAAATCATAGATAAAAAATTTATTAAAAATCTGAGATAAATTTCAACACTGCGACATTATCATACATAACATAAATCAGGTTCTTTTAAATTTTTTTCTTTTGTAATTTTAAAATATTCAAAAGAGCACTTTGTTGATAAAAATCAGGTTAAATATTTATCTCACAAATAGAAATAAAAATAAAAATGATTAAATTTATACTTTAACCACATTTTACTTATTTTTGTTATATATATAACTAACTCTTCGGTCAGTTTTGTTTTATAGTGCCATTATTTATTTGAATTCTGTAAAATTCTAAAATATTTTTATTTGAATTTTTTTTTAAAAAAATCTTTCTGTTTTCTTGATTGAAATTTATATATACATATATATGATATTTCTTAATGTTCTTACACTATTGGATTTTTACAAAGTCTATTTAATAGTTTTATTGAAATAAACATGACATATTACATTAATAACAGATAACATCAGAATTATAATTTAACAAATTTAGAAATTTAATGATTTTAAATTTTAAAACACAAATTTTCATATTTATTTGGAAAAAAATCTAATCTACTCTAGTTAACTCTTGTGTAAAGAGGGAGCTTGTATTAAGTTTCTGTCTAGAACTTCCCGCGGAGTAATTATATAGACTACGAGATCTCTGATCCCTCTATGCCAGCAGGTTTTCTATTCACCTCTTTGTGTTATTACTCTATCCTGTTATGACCACGATCTAGTTCTAGTTAACTCTCATAGAAAGAGGGGCCTTGTGTTAGGTTTCTGTCTAGAACTTCCCGCTGAGTAATAACATAGGTTACAGAGGTTATTGTTTCTTTAACACGAGTTAAGGAGTAGATTGTTGAGATTAACTCCGGTTAAGGAGTAACCTCAGGTTATAGCTATTTATAGCTAGGTGTGTCGCTGGCTTTGGGTATAAATATACCCCCGGGCCAAAGCTTCTTTCTAGAGTAGCATTGTGTATTCACCTTGTGAGTAAACTTTTTTGCGTGTTTGAGCCGTGGACGTAGCACTTGAGGGTGAATCACGTTATATGAGTGTCCAGTGTGATTCTTGTGTGATTCGTACTTGGCTTTAGTTTTACGTTAAGAATTGATATTAGAGCTGACTTACGATTCGGAAAAGTTTTCAGTTTTTTGTTTGGTATTCCGTGACTTACACGTATAGTGAAAAACCTGTGTTAATTTCTATTAGTTTGTTAATAGAAGAAACTTTCAGTTTTTGTTTCAATGTCAGAATTTTGTAGAGAGTTTTTTGTAGTCTCAAAGTTTTTTCAGAACTCTGTAGACAATTCTGCAAGTTGTGTTTTCTTTCTAAAAATTGTTGATAGAAGAAACTTTCAATCTTTGTTTCAGTGTCAGAATTTTGTCGAGAGTTTTTTGTAGTCTTAGAGTTTTTTCAAAACTCAGTAGACAATTTTCAAGGCGTGGGGGTAGACAGTGATGGAATGTTTTAGTCATGTCTATATAAGCTATTTACTGTGATTGAAGCATTTGCTGTCAAGTTGTTTAATGTTAAGTTTAGTTTAGTTTGGTGTCAGAGTTTTTCATTGACGGTGTGTATAGTGAAAAAGATTTCAACTTTTACTAAACGTTGCTAAGTTTCTATGCAAAGTTTTGACCGTTTTCACTAACATTATGTCTTCGTTGGGGCATATCTAGGAGTGAGAGACAGGGATCAGGAGAGAGATAGAGAGAGAGAGGGACGAGTCTTTGTCTCGTACTTTTTTGCTTCCTTTGATGGTGTTACTGCTTCCGGTCCTGCTCTTTGCAGATCTTGGCACTCACGGTGGGACACGAGGTGCTAGTGACAAGGCTCGGTCAGTGACAGTCAACAAAAGTGTGTGAGCGAGGTCAGGAAGCGAGTACGAGCTGACTAGACCCCCAAAAGCGAAGAGTCGAAAAAGAGGTGTTTCCCGTTCTTCGCAGTTTTCGGCAAGGGCGAGAAGACTCGGGCAGCGGCAGCGGCGGCGGCAAAAGGCAGTGGCAAAATAGTGCAGCGGCGAAAGGCGGTGGCGGCCCGCAGAGTTTGGGCAGCGGCGGCAAAGGTTAGCGGACAGGGTCTCGAGCGGCGGGGTCCCACTGAACCTAAGGCGAGAACCCCCGAACGGCGGGGCACTCTACCCCCGAGGTAGGGGACTCACCTCCCGAGGCGAGCATCTGAGTTGCACAACGGGCCGAGAGCTTTGCAGCGGAGATCGAATGTTCCCCACTTGTAACACCCGAACCTCCCCCATCGAATAGTGACATTTTTCCGGTGTTTAGGTTTTTTTGATTCCTCGGCGACAACCCGCACGCACCGATCGGAAAAATTATTCTAGAACCTTTAGGGGACTTTTATTTATTTCTTTTACCGCCAGCTAGCAGCAAATTTTTTTCCAACGTTTAGGGTTTTTTAGGGTGCCCTCGTGGCAACGGCACAATTTTTTCTTGCATAGTTAAGGTTTTTCTGGTTTTTCGTGGCCAACTTCATTACAGGGCTCGTAGTAAGAGTCCACGTGGTTATAGTCATGTGATCGCACTCGGACGTTGTTGGTGTACCGTAGTCACGGTTGACGTGGTGACCTAAGAGAAAAACGGGGTCAGTACACAACGTGGTCACTGGTGACAACTCTGACGGTAACAGTGCAAGTCGCGAGTGACGGACATTGCCATAGCGGGCGACATTAGTCACGGGTGACAAGAGTTGCGGGTGACGGTGGTCACGGGCGATGGATATTTAAGTTGCGGGCGACACTAGTCACGGGCGACGAGACTCGCGGGTGACGGACTTTGCCATCGCGGGCGACAAGCGTCGCGGTTGACATTTTTTTCAATCGTGGGCAACGGAAGTCACGGGCGACAAGAGTCGCGGGTGACCGATATTTAAGTTGCGGGCGACGGTGCTCACGGGCGACGAGCTCGCAGGTGACAGGAGTCACGTACGACAGTAGTTGCGAGTGACGATTGTCACGGGCAACGGTGATCACGGGTGATCACAATATATCGCGGGCGACGGTGGTCGCACAAGGCATTTGTGCACAGGCGTTGTAGCACAACGTAGTATCAGTATTCCTTTGGATATCACTTAGTTTATATAAACATCTCCCAAAGTAAACCACTCCGCGTTCGTTTCCACGAAGATCTACAGTTTTCTCCCTTTAAGACAATAACAATAATACATAATCTAATTTCGTCTCCTACTTGTGGACTGGTTCGCAGTTAGTAACCTGTCTTTAATCCTATCATTTGGAAGCGACCGGCTCTATCCAGGAGTCCGGTGTACATATGACGTCCGTGTCCTTAAGACTACCATTCCATGCTGCCGTAAGTATAAGCTACCCTCCCATCTAGACTCCTTCCAGACGTTGGAAACCGTCAACACTCTATGCTTGACACCTTTCCACTCACTCCGGGCGCTCTTCAGATTCTCATACTATTCAACACTCTTCCCAAAGATCTACTGAAGACAACAGTACTTGGGCCTGTTTTGACAACCGTTCCACACATCAAAGCTACAGGTATGTTTTCAATTGCAAATCTCAAAACGGAGTACAAAAAGAGGCACTTGCCATGAGAAAATCCCCGGCTTAAATCCTATCTTCTACAAGTGACCAACTAAAATCATGACGAAGTTGGATTTCTTGGGCACCACCGTTATCCAATACTGCATCCGTGATGCTCAAGTGCTATAAAGGAGCGCACTCTTGTGCTGACACGAAGGCGATCAACTTGTTCGTGGCTGACAGAGCGATATTCAAAGTTTAGTGACTTCCAAAAGTCATGATTACTGGCCACCCGCCACTGCTTACAGATCATGGCTGCTTGACATAGTGTGGTGTCATCAAGGCACGAAAACACTTTGTGCAACAACTCGTTGGTAAGGTCCACCCGCATTTCACCATCTTTCATGTCACCATGCACAGTATTTAACCCTCCTTCATCACCATCCTCGCCCCCTTGTGCTCGGTATCCGAACTGATCACGTGGGCACTACTACTGCCAGCTGCGGTAATCCCTTCCTGGTCGTGCCCCATCCACACAAAAGACAATTTGTTTATCCTGTCCTCCACCTGCATCAGGCTTGCCTTCTCCTTGACGATCTTCTTTCTGGATTCTTCATCTTTTTGTCTAACATTTGCTATTGCTTGTTTAGCAAGGTCTTCTTGAGCAATTCCATCCTTGGGATCTACTAACACAGAAAGCAGTCCGTTCTCAGTGGCAACAACAACATCATCTGTGTTCTCGTCCTTCTTGGCACTGGATTTGCCCTCAAAACTCTGCTCCTTCTCATGGAGCGAATTCCCAGATGAATTGCGAGGTATTATAGGACCATGAAATGGACACCTCTTCAGATCCCGTCTCTAACATAAGCCACTTTTTCTTAGAGGAGCTAGACATGGATGTATTTCAAAAACCTCGGTTGAGTAGTAAACAGACCGAAGGTTACTTTCAGCTAATTTTTCAGCAGGAATCATCACATCACCGTCCACCCTACCCTAGTGACTTTCAAACTCGAGTCCTTGTTTCCACGTTCCGTATTCCAAGCAAGGTTGAACTTTCACCTCCTGCAACCTGCTACTCCACCCTAGGGCAAAACCGGTCAAGTTTCATAAAAAGAACTCATTTTAGCCCCCGCGTCTCATATTCTCAACCCGTTCTGTACCTTAACTAACTCCCGTACCTGCTTGATGCAACCTCGTCCATTGCAAGATGAAGGTTTGAGCTACAGACCCCCTTCCCTACGAGCTGCTACGCATTCATCTCTAAAGATTAATCTCTTGCTCCACATGTTGCACTGTGTGGAAGAAAATTCGGCCCTTCGGGGAGGCCCTCCCGTTAGGTTATGAATACCCACTTCTCCGGAAGCTGACTCGGATGTAGTGATAGCTATTTCCTCCCAGTATTCATGCGGTCCGTCAGCGTCCATTTGCTAGACTTCTCCGTGGTAGGCAATGAGAGATCGATTGAGATTGACATGTGTATCCTCCTTCTCTACCAGAGCCACGCTTTCAAATTGATTGTGTCAAATAAAGAGGCTAAGATGTAATCAAAGATGCAAGCGCTCGCATCCGAAACTCAAGCAACTAACAAAAGAAAGGAAAATAGCGCAGTGTCACAAAGGATGATGAAAAGTAGCTAATACTGCAGAGCAAGCATGCGCCTGAAAAATCCAAAGATGATAGGAAGATGAAGCAACGGAAAGATGGAACACCGCGAGCACTACTACCCCGAAAGAATGGTGCCACAAATTGCCAAGAATCGCATATAGTGAAACTACCATCAAGCTCCAAAACCTTGACCAAGATCAAGAAATAAGAGGGTCCTCCTGCCTCCTCTCCGCCGCTTTCATCAACAATCAAACACTTTTGATCTTTTTAATAAGATATGACTTCTTGTCGAGAAGCGTTTCTGCAGTCTCTACTACTTGACTAACTTCCTTCTTTTTGCGTGCATTCAATTTGCTCGCACAATCGTAGAACTCGTCGTCACTGAGATCTTAGTCCTCGTCTTCATTCTTGAGGGACTTCTTTCCTCCTCGTTTTGTCCCAGACCTACCACTTATAGACTCCCGTATACTTTCATTCAAGGTCTCCTCCATATTTTTGAGCCCCTCGACAAGCTGCGTCATTCGAAGGAGGTTTTGTCAAAATCACAGGTTCTGGCTTTCGAGCGGGAGGAGGGTTCTTGCTGCTAAAACGTGGAACCTTAAAGCCTAGAACTTGATCAGGTGACATACGAAAACGCAAGAGGTTCAGAGTTCTTGGTAAATGCAATGCTTGTATAGGAGGTGAAACCACTGCTGTTGCGTTAGAATCATCCCCATTAGCGGTGAGAGCGCTCGAACACTCCACCTTAGCGACCACCTCATTCGACTCAGCTTCAGAGTCCGTCATCTTTCTGTCCATGCTCGAAAAAAAACAAGGGCTTTACAAGGGTTTAGCCCACAGAGCGACCGAGCGCAGAAGACAGAAGAGCCTGTCAATGGCAAATCCGACGGGCATCAAAATTCCTACGAGCCCGAACGTTCACCGCCATCCACAGGCACCCGCAGAATTCAGTTCCCTCTATTCCTCCTCATGAGGATTCTTCTTTGTCCGAAATAAAACGAAGTTCCTGACAATGCACGAATTTCACCCTCATCTTCGGCCGCTCGAAGCGCCCGAGCTCACAGACGGCCCTGAGTTGCGCACCAGCACTTGCCCTTCCCTGATGCTCTCACTCGCATATCTGAGATCTTGCGACCTGCCCTACCGCGAAGTACGAGGTACGTTCGTCGTTCACTTTCTACCTCCTTCTCCTCTCGCTTGCTCCTACAGCTCCTGCCTAAAAATTTTCACTGCCTCGGCCTTGTCTTCCTGTTGCCATCGATCACCGCGATGACAAGAAGACCAACCAAACCCTCCAAACCCCGTGCGGCCTTTGCCCTTGTTCTTCAAACTATCATCTTGACAATTTCACGTACGATACAAAACAATGGCCATCATCAGGAGGAGTTGTAGAACAAATGGAAGGAGGAGAAGGAAAAAGGAAAAGATGATGAAGATCTCTCCAGCAGTACAGAGAAGAAAGACGGAGGAAGTGACGGACAAAAAAAACACCCACGCACAAGACGCACATCACCACCAGACAGAGAGAAGAGATAGAGGGACAGACGGGCCGTTTGCTGCAAGGCGCATAATCCGCCTTTGGCGATACGCCTTTGGCGCTAGGGAAATCCCTCAGAGCTTATTCAATTCACAACGCCTTGACTTGGTTAGGGTCTCGTTGGAAAGAACTCAACACTCTCGTTCTAACGAGCTTAAGAACGCTTGGAACAGATGAGGACTCAAGGAGTTATGATTGTCGGAAGATGTGTAGACGAACGCCTTCGGCGGAAGGAGTTCGTCTCCGGCGGAAAATCCGCCTTCGGCCCTAGATGTTCGCCTTCGGGGGTGAATGTCTTCGTACGGCGCCGTCGGCGCCAGCGCATCAAGATTAGGTAAGTGCCTTCGGGGGTAGCATCTCGTACGGTCCGCCTTCGGCTCAACGCCTTCGGCGCGACGGACATGTGTGCCTTCGGCGGGACAGAGCTCCGGCGGCAAGAGCGCCTTCGGAGGGACAAGAGGGATCGACAGACAAGACAAGATCCGTTGACCACGGTCAACGCCTTCGGCACAGCCGCCTTCGGCGATGCACCTAGGGCGACGGACGTCTTCAAAGAGTTCGCCTTCGGCGATGCGGGTCAACGCCTTCGGCGGTGCGGGATGGATACGAGTTGCGAGTCGGCCAGAGGCGAAAGCCTTCGCCGCCGCGCCTTCGGCGCTGCGCGAACTTGGCCGCGGCGAAGTACGATGGCGGAAATCAAATTGAATTTTTGAGCATGTGAGTCCGCGCGACGGCGGAGCGTGAAGCTGCGTGTGCGAGAGGAGGGCCGTTACGCCTCCAAGCCGGCACAGCCATCAAGTGAGTGGACACTCACGACCAAGTGTCGACAATGACATCTTGTGAGCCAAGGGCGGACAACTCATTCTTTAATTTGCGATTTCAATTTCTTGTAAGAGCTGCGCGCGCACACATTCTGGCGGAGAGAAATTCGAGACACCGACGCGCAAAGACTCGCAAGTTGACAGAGAGAGAATTGAGTGCGCGACCGCCGGAATTGAGAGAGATTAGAGTTTGCAGAGGAATCGCAGCCGCGGGCAAGAAGCTTGGACATAGCGGAGGAGAGTTTACGAAATCCAATTTCAAGAACGCAATGTCGAAGGCCACTCAGCTGCGGATGATTCCACTAAAGATTCCGCAGATATGGGGTGCGCGCTTTCTAGGACCGGCTGTTTGCGGTGAAGCTCGTTTCCTCCAGTGGGGATGGAATTACGTGTGCCAGGACATGGTGCGCGAATGGCAAAGGGAGAGACACCAACCTACGCGGGTTTTGACCGCACGTAGAGCGTTGGACCGTCCAAGATTGGGGACAAGTACTGGGAAGATGTGCAGGCGAGGACAAGTACTTCATATTTGACAGTGAGAGCATCAAGGTGACGAAGGAGGAAGAGATTTCTTTCGCGACCTTGTTCAAAAGTGAAAAGTCCATCAAGAACGGGTACAGGACCCGAGACTACAAGGATCGCTACCGCAGAAATGTCGGGGTAGCACTTCTCCAACTCTTGCAGCCGCACAGGACTACATACATCACTTCTTGGCAAGTGTCTTTTCTGGAGCTGGCGTTGGCCGGAGCTCCGATTCACTGGTCGCGTATCTTGTGGAAGATTACGCGGCAACATGCGCTTGAGGAGAAGGGGGGATCGATCAATCATCTCTCCTCTTTCTTGATCAACTTTTATCGGTTGATGGATTGCTTAATCGCGACCGATCGTGTTCAATATCCGCTGCTGTCACTCAGCAATCCTTGGAGTTATGTGAGGGATATCGAGGTCGACACCGACGCGGAAGAGACTCCGGCCTCCACGCCACCTGCCCAACAGAGTGCGGGGAGCGAAACATTCGCAGCACGAGTGCCGTGGAAGCGGAGATGGAAGGGAGAACCAGAGAAGGGTCAACATCGAGACTCGGCTGTTCTCAAACGGAAGCGGCCACTGGAGGAGCTTTGCAGTCGGCCGAAGCAGAAAGCACGCAGGCTCGTATTGCCTACAAGTAGCGCGGAGACAGGGCGTGCCGCCGGAGCGAAGGAAACACCATCCTCGGAGGAGGATGGGAACACGCGGACGGCAGAGCGATCGGCAGACCTCCCTACGCCGAAGCACGGTCGCCTTCGGCGGAAGCTAGACGGCCTTCGGGTCAAGAGAGAAGACACGCAGCACCGATGAGTGTGCCGGCAACGGATAGGAGAGCCGCACGAGCACCGTACGCGGACTCGCCTTCGGAGCTTCGGCCTTCGGTGCAGCGGAGGAAGGAAAAGGAGCCGGCGGAAGATCCGCCTTCGGCTCAAGAGCCTTCGGGGCAAGGGCCTTCGACGGTAAGTCCGCCGGAAAGTGCGCCTTCGGGCCGAGGAGTTGTGAGTAGGGAGCCGGCGGGGAACGCGCCTTCGGCGCAAGGGACATCAGGCGAGCCGCCTTCGGCTCAAGCGCCTTCGGCGGAGGCACCTTCGGAGCAAGACCTAACGGAGGAGCGGAATGACAGTTGGAAGGAAGACACACGTGTGCGCGCTGCACAATTGCAATCCGCGCACACACCTTCCGCACGAACGCCTTCGGCGATGCGGAGTTAGTAGCAGCCGGACGGGCGAGCATTGCGAGTTTGGCACAACCCAACTCTCCCACCGCCTTAGACATTCTGGCCGGAAGCAGCGAGGCAACAGCGGCAACAGTGGTGGCAGACGGCGCAGGCACTACGAAGCCACACTCACGAGAGTCGCCGGAGAATTCAGTGGCAACCGAAATCCTCAATTCGGAGGATGACGAGGGAGGATCGACGGAATCGGCATCGGGATCGGGATCGAGTGAGGAGAAGAAACAATCAGTGGCAGGCACGCCGACGGCGGCACTCTGCGAGCAGGTGGTACCTCTGTTGAGGTACCTTGATCGCAAGGTAGAGAAGTATGCAGACCCCCGCTAGCCTGGGTCCTACGTCGAGTTAGTGCGTAGACGAACCCGCACTAAAGTCCACACCAGCAAGTTGTTGGCACATCTGGATGGGGACATTAAGGATCTGCGGGAGAAGAATGAGTGTCTGTTGGGCCACATTACTCTCACTCGGAAGATGCACAAGGTCGTCGACAAGTTGAAAGATGAGAAACTTGAAGAGGCGACGAAGGAGTTCGCCAAGGAGAAGGCGAAGCTCATAGATGAGCTGGATTCTGAGCAGACTAAGAATCGAATTTTGTCAGAGGAGCTCGTGCGGCAAACACGGTTGTTGGAGCAGTGTCAGCTCGCACGTCAGGCGGATGAAGAGTTAATCTGCAAACTGCAATCGGAGTGCGGGGAATTGAGAGCGCAGCGTGCGGAGGCCGAATTGCAGTTAGTTATAGTTGAAGACGATCGCCGGCGGGAGGCAGATCGCACGAAGGAGGAGTTGGCGAGGCGAGTCAACCACTGTCTCAGAGGTTACACCCACTGGGAAGTGACGGCGCAAGAGAAACTCACACTACGCGAGTTAGAGCTTCGTGCGACGGGGTTGGTGTCAGGTGACAGTCGGAGCCGGCGGCGAGTGGCAAAGAAGTTAGATTCGTTTTTGTCAAGGTCGCGGGACGCCATGGCCACCCTCGAGACAGAAGTTATTGCGGTGTTGTGGCGACTGGGACTGCGCAGTCGAGCTGAAGACTGGTCGGGTAGGGAGTTAGTGCGCGGCAGTCCGTCGCGCAGAAGGCGAAGCACGGGATCTGCAGAGTGTAGCGTAGCGTGGTTCTGTGCAGGCGCGTAGTGCAGTGTAGTGTAGTGTTAGTTAGGACTTAGAGGGTATAAAGTAGTTCAAGGCGTCTTGCCTTGGAATTCTTCCAGTTTCGGAAGTGCAGATCAAGAACTCATTTTCTCTGCGTGTTTGTGTCCTTAGTTTTGTCACCACGCAAGAGGAGCTACAACTTGGCGATCCGCATTTTGTAGCTGAAGGCCTTCGGCCGAATGTTCAGAGCTAGTACACTGGTTAGAGACTTGAGTAGTTCGGATCTACACCTGCGGGTGATTGCCGATGCTTAGAGCTAGTTACTAATTAGATACTTGAACAGTTTCCCCCTTACACTTTCGAGTGATTGTTCTTGATTGTACTCCTTCGGGATTTTTCCCCTGAATGCCAAAGTGAAGTTTTGTTACTTCGAGTAAGCCTTGGTTGTAATTCAGGTTACGCTGCAGCAGGTGCCTTCAGGGCAACCCCTGTAGTATTTATGGGAATGACAAGTGCCTAAGAATTCAAACTCTTCAATAGACTGTTATGGTGTGCTACTGGATCTTTTCTCAGTTGAGTCTCTCAGTTGGACCTGTGTTCTCTGCGCGTTTTGTGAGTTGAGTGTGTTGTTCACCACGTGTGAGTGACTTCGATCCGAAGTAGGAAGTCCAATCCGGGTTCCCTGTGCTAGCAGAAACTAGTGGAAGGGTTGTAAAAGCCGGAGTTGGGAATCACTACCCGCAGATTCGCTGAGTGTATTCACGAGAGACTTCCCCCCTGAAATCTTAAGTAGAGGTCCTAACCGACCTCTGAGTTGTGTTTCTATAGTTTCAGGTGTGTGTGTGTGTGTGTGTGTGTTGAGTGAACTACGCTGCACTCTGCGACCTCCGAGTGATCTCCGAGTGAACACTTCCAGTATTTCTGGGAGTGACAGTCGCCTGAGAATTCAAACTCTTCAATAGTCTGTTAAATGTGACACTTTGTACTCTGTGTGTTGCCTCTGTCCCTGTGGGTTCGACCTTTCTACCACTATATTGCAGTTTTAGCCTTTGGTGGGTTATTACACACACGATGCTCACATGATACCTCAACCTTCTTATCTCGTAGTTACTACTTTCTAACCTACAAACTTACCTATTTTATAATGGAAACTTCAACTTTTTTTAAATTTTTTGGGCCAAAAATACTTGTTCGGCCGGTTACCAGTGGAATTCACTTTCCACAGGTGTGTATCTTCACTATTTTCAGCAGCTGAAAATGCATCGAAAGGACGAAATTGACACGGCAACAGACGGTGTCTCTAGTTTTCGTCGAACTTAGATGGCATCGAAACAACTTGGAGGAACAGGGTACAACATTCTTCCTCTTGATGGCCGAGATGATTACCGGCTTTGGGAA